GCAATAAGGGGTCTATAAAAATAACAAGTTGTCATCGTTCGAGTTTGAATCCCTTGATTGAGTATGGAAATATTGAAAACGAATATTCTCAGATATAATATGAAAATAAAGAAATGGATACATTTGAAGAAATACTTCGTGATTTCTCATTTTTTATATGATGAAAATATAAATTCTTCCTCACTATATTTATGGGAAAACAACTACTTTCCTTTCTATATGCCACGACGAACATTGAATTATATCTATTGTACAGTGTCAAGTTTTCGATGCTTTTGCGTGATATCTCAGTTATCTTTCGAGATAGAACCTTGCGGTTTTCGCGGTCCTGTGCCACTTTTTTATGAAACTCAAGATGGCTTAATCAGATTTTTCATAACTGTTTTCGTTTATGAAATACAGGGCGATTTTGAAAATTTATACTTTTTGGACCCCCACTATATCTACGAAGTTTCTCAGCAAAAATGTCGAATTGAAGTCTCATCTTATATAGAAGTTAATGCAGAATCCAGTGGTGCACTCAAATTTTTTTTTCGGGGTATGGTTTTGGAGATACGACTCAAACTTATGATTTTTTACATGGAACACCCTGTATTTTATAAGCTCATAAAATTCCTAATTCTTTTCTCTTCAAAATGATTCGAAATGTATGTATATAACATTCTCAAAAATGCCCTATAATCACTAAAACATTGAATTTTAATAGTGGGCTATGGATTTTTCTTATAAAAACGTTCCAATTAAAGAAATATTCATTTTGATTTTTCCGTAAAGAGGACAAAAACAATACCAACACTGATTTACCCAGAAAAAACAAAAAATATGTACCCGATAGCAACAAATAAACAGTAATAAAAGTCCATAATGTACAATAAGCACCAGATTAAATATTCACAAAAACTATTGGATTTCGGGATTATTCAATAACTCATTCATTGAATTGTTCAAATTGATATCCATTTTCCACAATACACAATTTACACAGTTTCTCAATACGTCTTGATACAACAGTAAGAGGCACAACAATCTTGAAGATCTTCGTGCAACAACAGAGGCAGTTTTCCAGGAATAACAAAGACATCCTTTAATGATTTTGAATGCATTAAGACGCATTGAGAAAGTGTGTGAGTGAAAATGGACTTCAATTTGAACAATTCAATGAATAATTTACTGATTAATTTTGAAATTCAATTGTCCTATAGTGAATATGAAATCAGGTGCGTATTCTAGAATATGAATTTTTCATTACTATTCATTTGTTGCTATCAGGTACCTAATTCTTGTGTTTTCTTAGTGAACTAGTGTTTGGATTGTTTTTCTCCTTCTCATGGAAAAATCGAATGGAATATTCCTTCAATTGGAACTTTTTTCAAATGAAAAAATCATATATAGCCCTCTATCAAAATTCAATGTTTCAGTGATTTTGAAGCATTTTTGAAAATTTCATACTTATACATCATATTTTATTTCGATGACAAAAAAATAAGGAATTTAATGAGCTTATAAAATACAGGGTGTTCCATTTGAAAAATCATAAGTTTGAGTCGTATCTCCAAAATCATACCCAGAAAAAAGAATGTCAGTGCGCCACTGGATTCTGCGCAAAAATCTCTGTGGGATGAGAGTCCAATTTGACATTTTCGCTGAGAAACTCCGTACCTAGATATCCCCTCTATATCTAGGTACTATGATTCTGCGCAAAAATCTCTATGGGATGAGAGTCCAATTTGACATTTTCGCTGAGAAACTTCGTACCTAGATATAGAGGGGGTCCAAATAGTATAAATGTTCCAAATCGCCCTATATCTCATAAACGCAAACAGTTATGCAGAATCTGATAAGGCCATCTTGAGTTTCACAAAAAAGTGGCACAGGACCGCAAAAATCGCAAGGTTCTAACTCCAATGATAACTGAGATATCACGCAAAAGCATCGAAAACTGGACACACTGTACACACACGATAAGAATAGAAAATAAAATTTCCTGAAGTAGAGAATCATTCGCATTCTCTTCCAGATCGGAAAAAAATCGTGATCAGATCAGGTACTGAAGAGGGTTTGATACCCGAGATAAGTTCATTCGAATAAAGTCATATGAACTAGGGAAAAAGCCAAATACTCAAAGTATAATGCAATGGTCACAAAGAGAGGAACTCAAAGTCATTACCACAACTATTTCATAAAATGAACGACAATGGTAGATAGCGAGAGAAAAACAACTACTTTCCTGGCTATATGCCACGCAGAACATTGCATGACAGGAAAGAAACACTTGCGATTTTATTCGTTTATACGAACTATCGCATAGGTTTCGGGAGGATGTAATGCAGTGTTCTGCGTGACATATAGCCAGGAAAGTAGATGTTTTTCTCCCGTTATCTACCATTGTAATTCATTTTATGAACTAGTCGTGGTAATGACTTTGAGTTTCTCTCTTTGTGAAAGTCATATGACCTGTTCGTGAGAGATCTCAGACATCATAAATGGGTATTAATGATTTTTGATGATACATTGCAATTCTCATGAGAATGCAAAGTCTCAACTCCAGAAGATTATATTTTCAAATTATCATCATGTGTGTTCAATAGATTTGAAGTAGTGGTGTTCTGTTGAATATATCGAGAAAGAATGAATATTTTTATCATATAGAGAATGCGAATTCTCAAGGTATTTCTTTGAATGCAAGGAAAGTAGTGTTTTCTTTGATATATCGAGAAGGAATTTAAATTTTCATCACGAAGAGAATGCGAATTCTCGATGTATTTCTTTGAATGCATCTATTTCCTCATATTCTTCGAGACATATTGCCTATTCTATTTAACCCTCAACTACTAACGTTCCGAATATATAACGTTGTCACTAACTATACGTATCACAGACGGGACTATTCAAATGTCCATATAAATCCAAAATTTTTTATTTTATTTTTGTGAGCTATTCAAACACGTTCTCTACATATTTTCTGAAGGAAAAATGATGTTCAAAATCAAAATAGAAATACAAATCTCAGTGGCGATCAAAATGACAATGCAATGTATATATCTAGATATAGACGCAATCATACGTATTATAGGCGAAATTGAACTTTTATTGTTACCTAATAACTAACTATACGTCTACGAAACGGGAATCTATCGTTCACTCAAGATATTTGTAAAAGTGAACCATATACATATATCAACTGCAGGGTACTGATTGAGTGCTAGTTGGACATGAATTACGTAGTAGGACAATGGCCGATATTGAAAAGCATTGGTAATCCAACAAATCGGATGCTGATATGCCGTCTCTGAGACGTATGATTAGTAGTTGAAGGTTAACATTATTTTTCTGATGAAGAAATCAGGCATGAACCAAACAAAAATATGTCCGAAGAAGCTTGTGCAAGAGAATATAGCCTGCTAAAACAATATCCAACACCATTAAAAAACACACTGTGTATAGTCCACAATACGATTGATTGCCTGCAGGTATTCACAAAGCCAGATGATTCTGGAACATCACGTACAGAACTACGACGGAAGGCATCTCCAGAAATTTACATGACAAAAAGCACATTCCCGGGTAATACGAAGACCTCTGAAGATAACTTGAAATATGACTTTATTACGATATGAATAATGAAGAAGTATGTAAGTCTTTGGGCTCGTTACGTGAGCGTGAATCTCCAAAGGAGTCTGCCATGATGAATCACAGAATGTCTTTCTACAATGTGCTATCTGTTACATAATAAGTAAAGAAGAGGTCCATCGAGATGATTTACCTATGCTAGAGTGCTGCAAACATCTCGTTGTACACCCTTCAGAAAGGGTGGACACACTTGTCACGTTGTTCACGAGCTGAACGAAAAACATAAGATACAAATATGTTTTTATTGCCACGGGAGAGAAGTTCGACATTTTATA